ACTGTGGGCACAGTGGAGAACTTCTTGTTCGATTGTGAGAGGTATTTTCAGGGCATGCACATTCCAGCAGATGCTCAGGTGTTGTATGCGACCGGTTTGCTTGAGGGGGGTGCTAAGACTTGGTGGCGCTTCATATGTCAGCGCCTGGAGCGCACCCCCGAGCACGAGCTGTTGATGGACTGGTCGTATTTTCACGATGAGCTGATTGCGCGTTTTCGGGCTGTCAATGCCACTCGCCATGCGAGAGACAAGATGGCAAGCCTCAGACAGGAAGGCAGTGTCAGAACCTATGCTCACAAATTCCAGGAATTATCCATGCAGATCCCCAACGTCCACGACGAGGAGCTGCTCGACCGCTTCGTCCGGGGACTCAAGCCGCGCACACGTATGGAAGTTACCATGCGCGAGCCGAGCACCTTCGACGAAGCGGTCAAGCTGGCCGACCGCATGGACTCCCTCTTCACCCCAGGGTTCGGATTGGACCGCCAGCCCAAAGGGCGGTTCAATTCAACTAACCCAATCCCGATTCTTCCCCGTCCTGCTAACCCTGTCGCTGACCCTGTTCCCATGGAGATTGATGCACTGAGGCGCAGACTGCCCCCGCTAACCGATGCTGAGAGAGATCGGTTACGGAAGATTGGTGGTTGCTTCCGTTGCAGGCAAACCGGGCACATTGCGACTAACTGCCCCCTTAACACCCAGTCCCCTGTGCAGCGCCCTGGTGTCAACCACATTGACCACCAGGCGCCTTCCACCGACCACCCCGATCTCATCGACCTCGACTCCGAGCCCCGCAGCTCGGAAAACTTCACGCCCCAGTAGACGGTCCCGGGACGTCCACTGGTGGCACTGCAAGGGACCGCAAGTCCCTCCCCAGGAACCGCAAGGCTGCCCCACCCACACCGGGTCCTACCGGACCCAAATCTTCTCGGTTGATCTTCTTGCGTGGTCAAGTACTAGGTCGTGCATGCAGGGTGTTGATTGATTCCGGTTGCTCTGATATTGTGATGTCATCTGAGTTTGCGCGTGGTTTGAACATCGGTTTACGGTCTGACGATAGTTTGGAACCCGTAACTCTAGCCAACGGTTCACAGCAACCGGTCAAATGGACTACTCAAGCCGTGCCATTTTCGGTCGGTTCTGAGTACTCCGAGGACCTACATTTCACCGTTACAGATGTAACGTATGACATCATCTTGGGTCTTCCATGGCTAGAGTCGGGTAACAAGTCTGTCGATTGGTTGCGACGTACCATTTCCTTCGTGCATGCAAGCAGGGTTGTAACGCTGGAGGCCGGTAAACCCGGCAAGCGTGCATTGCGCAA